TTTAAGTCATGCTCTTAAAACATTTATTGGGTCCATTCAGTAAGCATTACATCTAATCAGCGGGTTTCTTAAGTAAGATGGTCTGTCAGTTACCAGCATGTTTTGAGTACCTGCTTTTGTGTAGAATGTTGAACTAGCTTCTTCCTGCTGTTAAGGACCCTGGTTGCATTTGCTCTTTGCTCATCTTTCAGATGGCTTCTTTTGTTATAGTCATAGTTGACATGAGATGGTAAAATGTCTAACATGCCAGAACTCATATTAGTTAATGCCAGGAAAAGTCACCGGCATACTCTTAAGTATTTCTTTGATCGGTTATGTGTATTCTCCTCAGTAGAGCCTTCATCTTCAGTTATGTTTTTGAAACTTTTGATTTTTAATTTCTAGGGACCGATATCACTGTTGATAGTGCAGAGAAGCCCTCCACATTTTCAGTGCATAATTTAGTCTTCTGTAAATGGCCTTTGTGTTTTCTGAGCAGAATGTATGAGGTGTGCCATCTCACAACCAGCTGCTACCCTGTCCTTTTGATATAAGTCATTTCCTTCACTGTGGCCTAGCTGATGTCTGATAAGTATTGTCAATGTGCAAAAAGGCTTTACTTAAGAATGTTTTATTTATAGCAAACCAACTCTGAAAATCTTAGGACACAGTCTTTTTGTGAGTGGATGTTGTTAACTATAATTGTTGTTGCCCAGAGCCATGGGTTTTTAAACCCCAAATTATCCACATGGTGTGTATTATTAATTCTTTGAACTCTTTAGAATAAGCTTTTGTGAAAAAAGGACTGTGAATCAAAACAATGAGGCACTTGTGGGTGCACTAGATAGATTCTGTCAGTATTGTGATTCTGTACAGGATTTTTAAAATGATAACATTCACAAAACTTCTTACTTTTTAAGAGTATCTTAATATGCCTATTATCCGGTTGCCACTGGTATAAAAGAAATATATTTGTGTTTTGTTTGTACTAAAACACAAATGCAAGAGTGCAATTTTTAAAATCTAGAAGCTAGGGATTCTTTTGTTGGAGAAAAATGGACTGATCCAAACTATTCAGACCTACTAGGATTTTTATGCATTGAAACTGACATAAATATGAAATAAACAGTGCAATATTCATGGTAAAGTGAGAAATGGTTAACATTTGGTTTTATTTATTCTACTCAGCAATTTTAAAAGGTACACTACTATTTTTTCCTTTTGCTTCTTAATTTATTTTTCAAATTTGTCATTGAATTCTTCAGTCAGTTGTTATTTATTTAAAGTGAAAATAGCATTTAAAATTGTTTTTGCATGTAAGATGTGTACTTTACAAGTGAGAAATTATTTTCCTTTTTTTGGTTTTCAAACAAATGGAAGTAAGTTTATTTGTCTTACATAAATCTTAATTTTCAGACTTCCTGGATACCTTAGTTGTAACTGTCAGTGTTGCACTGGTCAGTATGTGGAAACACATTGTTCTACCCCATTACTTATTATTACTTATTGTTTATTTAAAAGTGAAATTACATTGATGAGGAATTTATTAAAAATATATTGTATTTCTTTTGATATTACAGATGGTCGCACATGTAAAATTGGTTTGTTAAAACATGCTACATGCCCAAAAATAAAGATGAGAATGACATTTTTGACAATTTTCTGAGTTTGTCTTGTTTTATGGACAGGATATTAGTTACTGGTGGAACAGGGTCCTCCCGCCCCACCCTCCCTTTTGTTTTTCAGTGTAAATATGTTGCTTGGTTTGTTAGTAAAACAGGAAATGTCCTTCAGATGATGACTCATTCTCCATCATCTTTTATTTCTACAAATACTCTTTCTTACTCATGGAAGAGCAAGTTCCATTGCACCATTGTTTCCTGACCCAAATAAGCCCTTGTTTTGCACTGCACTAGAGTTCTCACATAGGATAAATGAATGCATCTATACACTATTGTTTATGTGAACTACATAATTATACTTTATATCTTGCCAGATATTGTAAGAGGAATTTGGATTTGGAATTTGTTTATAAAAGCCCAGCTTTTCCCACCCCCTTTGTTAGAACCACTGTAAAGTAGTCACCTACATTAAATCAGATTTTAGTTCTGATTTATCTTACACCAGAACTTATTTTTGGCAATGTCATGTATTATAGGTTTGTATTTACTTTTGTAAAGTGTTTTTAAAGACCTTTTTATCTATCCTTGTATGCCCAGAAGGATGTGTCCAGATGTTAAATTGTATGATTCTGTGATTGGGTTTTTTATATGAAATTATGAAAATTAATTCCAGTTTTCTACAAAATTTAATTTGTTTTCTGCATTACTTTGGGGAGTTGAGTTTATTTTATCCTTGATCATTTATATTAGGCTGAGGCTCAGTGGATCTCAACTGAGAGATGGGGGATTATTTTGTTCCCAAGGGGATGTCTGGCAAAGTCAAAACATTTCTAGTTGCATCTGGATGGGGTGTGACATTAGCATCAAGTTGAGTAGAGATCAGGTGCTGCTAAGCATTCTACAATGCTTTGGATAGCCCCCCACAACAGAATCAGTAGTGCTGAGGCTGAGAAAACTGAGAAACTGTTGACTATTTCATCTGTAAAAGATGCTATGAATTAACTATTAAATAGCATTTACCTTTCATTTCTGTCCCAAATATATTGCTCAAATGTAATAAACACAGTCTTTCAGAAATAGTATAGCCATCTATTTGAACCAACTTTTTTGATATGTAAAAAATAGGACTGCCATGTTTTATGTGAAAATTAAAACCCAAACAAGATGAATAATGTTATAATATGATATACATGACTGGTCTGACATGAGTGAACAGTGGCCTCCATAGAGTACAATTGGAGAAGGAGATACATGAAGAGAGCTAAGGCATTGTATTTATGTATTTTCCTACATTGGTGTTCTATTGGATAATCTAAGCTTGATAAAGAAAACATATGTTAATATCCATCCATTCCTTGAGAGTGGAAACAGCTCAAAATCTCAAAATAACAGTGAACTGGATGAGCTGTATCATGTGGCTCAATGTATGCCCATGTGTTGGCCTTGATGGTGCTGTGAAATAGTTCTTATAGTCATTTTAATTTGCCTGAGTGCTAGGAGAAACTCCCAAAGTTTTGCATAAAGCACTTATTAAATAAGGTTTATTTGGTTTGTTTTAATAATTTGCTTTAGTGATAGGTTTTAGAAATTTAGAAAATCGAATATAGTCAAGAATGAAAGAAGAGATAGTTATGAGGAAAATTAAAATTAAATCAAATTCACTTGTATTGGCCAGTTGATAAGAGAATATTATCCAGTTAGGGAAGCCATTGATTTGTGGAATCTTTGGTTACTTCACCTAGAACCTAGAGCATCTCTTTTATGCATTTCATTTTGGTTCTTCCAAGATCAAGGATAACCCATATTTTCCAGAAAGATGCTCCACCTTTACTGATGCTTGAAATGGAGGTGAATGATTTGGAAAGAACCTTACCGTGGGAACTTGTCATGGGCAAAACTGCAGCAGTGATGAGTCTAACACTTCCAGTCACTTTCAAGTTTTTGCTTGGAGAGACATCCAAGATAATAGACCTTTCATTAAATACTGACTTTGAGTAAATAGTCTTTTTTAGCTGGTCTTATTTTAGATGTGAGCTTTAATCCTCCACAAACTTTAGAATAATGAAATGTTCCCAGGAGTAGTATTTCCTACTAAGAACATAGGTTATATTTGCACTTCTTTGTATGAACATCAAATAACTTGCTTTGTCCCTATGGGGTCAGACAAGTGTCTTTTATCTTTCCAACCCTGCTTTCCAACATAATATAGCAAAAGTAGGAATTTAAGAGTAAAAAATGTTTTGGACTGAATCCCACTTGTTAGATGGTACTGAATAATAATTTAGAACTCTTAGGAGTTTCTGGTTGGAAGGAAATTTCTTTATTTAACGTTGCCATGGATGTCCGTATCTGCAGTTGCCAAATCAGAGTTAGATTAGAACCTACAAACTGAGTTCTCGGTAACAGGAGCACAGAGTGCTAGAAGGTTTAAAATAGATGTCATATGATACCAATTATAACTCAGTGAAATTTTGCAGTCCTGGGAACCTATACAGAGCATAAGCCAAAATGGAAGATGGACCTGTTTTCTATGGCTTTAAAAACATTTTTATTACAATGTTTGCTACCTTTTTTTTCTTCAAACTTTTAATTAAAGTTTTTTTGGCTCTCCTAACCCATTTCTATATCGTCAAAGGAAATAGAAAAGAAGCGGCTAGGATAGCAGAAGAGATCTATGGTGGAATTTCAGGTAAAAAAAATACATGAATTTATTCCCAATACTTAAAAAGTACCCTCCTAGATAATTCATGTGAATAGTATTCTAGAAGGCAGATTTTCTTTGTACTTCAGTTTTGAGTGGGTAGTTTAAAAAATTACCTGTCATTTAAATTAGCAAATGGTGTTGGCTGCACCAATATGTGAAGAATTTTCAGCTTAATTTTTGCAAGTTAGTAGAGCAATTAGCAATTATCATTTAAGAAGAAAACAGGATAGTGACTTTTATGAGTAATTTTGAGAAACCTCATTTCTACTGGACAAAAGAATTGCTCAGATAGCATTATTTTCTTTAATAACTTTTGTTTGTTTGCAGTGCTGGGAATCAAACCCAGGGCCTCATGTATGCCAGGCAAATGCTCTACCACTAAGCCACATCCCAGCTCTATTTCTTTACCATTTTTAATCAACCTTTAAAATAAATAACATTCAGGCAAGACTAAATTGCCTCAGGAAATAAAATGAGCAATTTGATTTAAAGCAGCAAAGGTGGCATGCTATATATATTTTTGTGCTGATCATTTGCAAATGGAATTGATTAACCACTTGTCACTGTCAGAAAACTCTTCACAAAATCCATTTATGAGTGGCACCATGCAGAGCACCACAAGGAAAGGTTGTTATAATGTGGAGTACTAAGAGTTGGATAAAACGTCTTAAAGTCTCATGCTTTGTAGAGATTAGACTACATTTCTTTTAAGAAACAATCGTAGTGAGATGCTACAAAAGTAAATGAATCAAGTGTCTCTGTCACTACTGGGATTGCCACTTAATAGAGGAGTATTTATTCATAAACAAGAGTTCAGAGTCTCCCTCTGTATTTTTAGTGTTTGCAGGGGTTCCAGGATTACATCATTCTTTATCTAGTATCCATTTCAATTTGCACCCAGGATTCTCTTTCAAAATAGACTTATGTGATTCCAATACACTAGACAACTTGGAAAACACTAGACATCAGCAGTCTTATCCAAAGAAATAGGACCTCCAAAGACGAAGCATCAGAATGCTTCAACTAACTGGGGAAAATGAGAAGAATTTTGAAGTTTCAGAAAGTGTCAGAAGCCCTGGACTGTGGAAAGAGATTTCTTTTGGGGATTACATTTGTCACACATTTCAGGGAGGTACGTTATTTTGGTGAAAAAAATTAATGCTTATCTTTAGTTTCAAGTTAAGCATGATCTGGAAAGCTAATTTCTAATTTAACCTGTAAATTTGGGCAGGGACTATCTCAAATTTTCAGTAATAATTTTGATGTTCTCAGAGTTTAAATGAAGGTAAAGTCCAACAAAGTCAATATTGCCACAGGGTATAAAAATGTTTTCTCCAATTGCTCCTATGCATTATTCCTATCTTTATGGCCCTTAACGAGGAGCAACTTCTCTTAAAGGGTTTTATAGCAGTTCAAAACCCATGTAAACATTATTTCAATTGGCCTGGAGTCAGAATTCAAATCTCTGAAATAGATTTGATGACTCTATGGCTCAAATAGCTTTACCTGTTCAAACTTCTGGGATAATATTCATTTAAGTTGCAAGTAACAATATTATAAGGTTAAAAACATATTTTCAATTATTGTTAACGAGGCAGAAGTGTGAATAGTGCATGTTAACTTCTCAGTTTAATTTTCTTCGTGTGTGTGTGTGTGTGTGTGTGTGTGTGTTTGTCTGTCTGTCTCCTCACATACCCCACCCACATATATATCATAACATATCTGGATTTGGCAAATAAGTTTTTCTATAATAATGTGGTAGTGAGATACCAGGACCATATTTTTACATAATTCTAAAATTGCCTTTTCTTTTGACATTGTGAGCAGGTATATTAAAAATCAAGAACAAAATTTTGTGGCAGTGTTAAACTCAATCCAGAAGTCATCTTTAAACTCTTCATTGGTTGGAAAATATATTCTGTGGAAATATATGACATTTAATCATTAAGTTAGCTGACTTACAGAAGTCTCAGCTCAAAGTTAAATTTCCTGATTCTGCTTTGTATTCTTAAAAAAAATTTTTTTTTAGTTGTAGACAGACACAATATTTTTATTTTTGTTTATTTTTTTTAATGTGGTGCTGGGGATCAAACCCAGGGCCTCATGCATGCGAGGCAAGCGCTGTACCACTGAACTACAACCCCAGCCCCTGTTTTGTATTTTTGTAAACTATTGTCAGCAATGTCAAAAACAAGAGCAGGGGGCTAGAGTTGTAGCTCAGTGATAAAGTGCTCACCTCGCATGTGTGAAGCACTGGGTTTGATCCTCAGCACCACATAAAAATAAATAAATAAAGATATTGTATCCATCGACAACTAAAAAATATTAAGAAAAAAAACAAGGTCAGAGTTAAATCTTTTCTTTGGTAGCTACACCTAACATCCCTTATTAAATATCATTCTTAGCTGTAAAATCTTTTAGAAATTAATTTTCTAGAATAATTATTTGATACATCTTTGTGGTTGAAAGTATTTGTGTATAACTCATCAAAGTCGAGTTGGCTGTTACTACTTTTGATCTTTCAAGCATCTTTGTGCATTTTGTCAAATATAATACATTTGTGTATATAAGTTTGAAACGTTGTCTTTGGCCCTTAGCTTATGTGTACAACACAGGTAGATCACTGAATGGATCCCCCGTGTGGACCACAGATAGTTCTACATGTACTACCTGTCTCCAGAGAGACGTGTGATTTTTCAGCCTTTACTAAACTATAGTACCCTGTGATTTTTTTCAGAATCCAGGAGCTTTTGGATGTTCAAAAATAACAATGTGTGCAAACATAAATAATTGCACTAAGTGAAAATACAAATAGAAATAATTAATCGCTTAAACTGAGTCTCACCCAGCCATGTTTTCCTGGCAAAGGAGTTTTGCATTGAATTTGGAGGAAAGCTTGATTTTCAGAATTTGAGGGATTTTACAGATGCAGATAAGAGGAAGTAGAACTATAGTACCCTTTAAAACAAACAGTGAAGCTAGTTTAAGCTAAATAAAAAGGATTAGTTTCTATTTCCAAGTGTTATGCTCAAAATCACTTGTCCTTGTTCTAAATTCAAGGGACTGACCTTGACTTGACAACTATCCATCTGCCTGACTCAATAACCTCTTTTTTCCTGTCCTTTCCTTTCCAATAGGATTTTCTTACATTTGTTCCAGTTTTGCCCAAACCCCTACCTAGCCTTCTACTCTTCTTTGGTTCTTGTTGGTTGTTTCACCGAGCCTTGACCTTACTATCCTCTGTGTGGTTACATTATCTCAGATGCTTGCTGACTTCTTCCAAGTCAGGACAACTAGTTCCTGGCAGAGGTTCTGTCTCCCCACCTGTCACTCAATCTCCTGCTCCTAGTGAGTTCAAAGTAGCCTTCTTTTTCACAGAGTTCATTGTGTCTAACACAGCTCATTGGTTAAGTTTAATCTTCTGACCATAGAAAATATTTATTTTAACTCCTTTTATTATATTTTAGATATCTCAAATTTTATTTTCTCAATTAGCTTTGTTTTCCTTACAATATCATTAATTCTCCTAGGCTCTTGCCTTTATTTTGATTCAGAATTGAATTTCCTTATGATTTTCTTCTCTTTGATAAATGCCATAAGAGATGTTGTTTCATATGATTTCAGAACTTGAATAAAGAGAATAAAGATTGTTACACGTACCCTTGGGATTACAATCAGTTACGTGGTCTTTTGGAATAACAAGCCAGTAATTTCAAATCCTTGTTAAAATTAGCCAGGGTAAAAATTGTAAAATAAAATATAAAAAAGAATCGGTTTTTAACTTGAATACTTGGAACTTAAACAACTGTATTACTTCTGAACCAATTTCATTATTGTAATATATGGTTTTAAAAGTAGTTACGAACGAGATTGTTATTCAAAGAATTTGAGAACAAGAGATATAAATGACATTCTGAGAAAAATTCAAAGGAGGAAATAAAAAAGTACTTGAACATTTTCTGTACACCTCATCAGTAGCAAGCAAACATATCTGTAAACTATTTCATAATGTTTGCAGCCCTATGATCCAGGCAGTCTGCCAAATAACTAAAAATAGTTTGCCTTAGAAGAGAATGACTGAGTACTACTTAAGCATTCATTTACTTGGAGAGTTTAGTTGCATATTTCCTGAAAGGAATGGAAAAATTCCTAACCTTCCAAATGACTTTTATCCTTAATTTCTCACAATTAACTCCAATTCATAAAACAAGAAAGATAAGATCGAGAGACTATCTTGGCAACAAAAAAATAGAAAAACAGGACACTTTCACCATGGTACTGGAAAGGTGAATTTCTTGAGAATGATTGTTTCCAGTTGGGGACAAAAATGATTACTACTTTTAGGGTGATACAATTGGTTTATTTCACATTGTTTATAGAGAGAAGGTAGATGTCAAAGCATTTCAAGACTGGTAAATTTACCACGAGAATAGTCAGAATTTAGAGATCCATAGTTCTTAAAAACAGAATAAGGTATTTTCTGAAGTCTCCAAAAACTTGGCTTTCAGTGCTACTTCTTTTTTAAAAAAATATTTATTTTTTAGTTGTAATTGGACACAATACCTTTACTTTATTTATTTTTATGTGGTGCTGAGGAACAAACCCAGGGTTTTGCACGTGCTGGGTGAGCGCTCTACCACTGAGCTACAGCCCCAGTCCTCAGTGCTACTTCTGACACTAACCATGAGACCTCTTTTCATGTGGAGCAAAGTGACGAATGTGTAATTTGGAGTATTCTTACTCATAAAATAAGGCTCTCCCCTCCTCTTGAGGAAGCTGCTGGTGCTCTAGGAGAAATAGAAATTTAGATAAGGGTGCTTAAGAGGAAGGGATCTTGTATTTCACTCTCCCGTTGGAAGGCTTCTTGAGCATATGACTTGCTCATGTACCCTACTATGCTACTCAACCAGGAGGGAAGCGTTGGAAAGCAGAAGTGTGGTGAGGGAGATTCTCAGGACAACCCCGCTTCCCTCTTTCTTGGTGCACTGAAAGATGTGGCCACAGGCTTGCCACTGAGACTTCAGCAGTACAGTGTTAAAGTTGGGGGACATCAGAAGATGCTGCCTTTATGAGAAACACTATGAGAGGTGGTCAAACAACAGGAAAGAAAGATGCTTATGCTTAGGAGTGAGCCCAAGTGTTAAGGCAAGCCACAGACCCAAAGTGGACTCTGTAGTTGAGGCTCAGAGAGCAGGACTGGCTTCCACTTTTAGTTAACTGGGAAGGCATTGTCCGTGTCCTTTTTGCTTCTCCCCACCCCCAAAGCACCAGAGAAGTTGGCACTTAGAAGGAGGAAGTAGGAGGCATATGAAGAACACACTGTCCTTCAGTAGACCAGCTAGCTGTTCAGTAGACCAGAGAAAGCCATATCCTGCCCTGGGAGTGGGAAGAAGGTAGGAGCTGTGGAAGGCATCAGCAATAACATTTTAAATGGTGGCAGAGCCATTTTAAAATCCTTTTTATGGAAATATGATGTAAATATAGAGAATTGCACAAATCCTTAGCAAACAGTGGGATGAATTTTCACAAAGTGAACACAGTCAGGAACCAGTGAGACTGTGTTTTGTCAGCATGGCTCCAACCATGCCCAATTCCTGTCAGACTTCACCCCTCCTTGGGTTGCTTTTGGCTCCTAACACCCAAGGTGAGTTTGTCCTCCTCTCCCTCACTCAAACAGACTTACTCAGCACATGCTCTTTTGTGTCTTGTTTCTTTCACTCAACATTAGGCTTCTGAGGTTTCTCCATCTTCGTATATGGATCGGGTCTTATGGGACTAATGAGTCACAGAAAGTTACAGGAAAATCTGAAATATGATGAGAATGTGAAATAGGACGATCATCACAGCCTGCATGAAGAAAAATTTTAGAAATTATAAAGCTGTTTCATGTTGATATATCTGAAATTAACTCTTTTAATGGCAAGTTGCTACTTCAATCTTATTTTTATGTTTGAATAGAATACTTATACAGGTTAGTATCCCTTACCAGAAATGCTTACAACCAGAGTGCTTTGGATTTTATTTTTTTTCCAGATTTTAGGTATATTTGCATCTATGTCTATATCCATAATATCTTGGGTATGGAACACCAGTGTAAACCCCAAATTCATTTGTGTTTTATATACATTTGATACACATAGCCTAAAGGTGACTTCATCCAGTAGTTTATTTTGAGTGTTAAGCACTTTCATTATGTGCAATTTTTCATTTATGGCATCATGTCAGGACTCAAAGTTTTGGATTTTGGAGCATTTTGGATTTCAATATTCAGATTAGAGGTACTCAACCTGTGGTATACCTTCAAGTGACTATGATTGACTAAGCAAATATTAGAACAACAGAATTTAAAAAACTCTGAATTTTGGGGTTTGCCTCTTGTATTAGTCAGGTGCTGAGTTTCCAACTGTGGGCAAAGACTGTCCTCCTCATCCAGTGCCCATGCTCACCTCCAAGAGCAATTAGAAGAGGGGCAATGTGTGAAGTACAATTAATATTGAATGACATGGAGATGCATTAGAGGAAAACCAAGGCAGACTAATTCAGGGTTATATGCACCCATTATCTCATTATCTTCAGCTTATGAAAATAAATGTCAAAAGAGATTTAAAAATATTCCACTCATCAACTTTTTAAAATTTGTCCTTTTTAGATATACATGACTGTAGAGTGTATTTTGACATATTATACATGCATGGGTATAATCTCCCATTCTTGTGACTGAACATGATGTGGAGTTTCATTGGTTGTATGTTCATAACAAACAGGAAAGTTACAACCAATTCATTTCACTGTCTTTACTATTCCCATTCCCGCTGAAGATATAGCTCAGTTGGTAGAGTGCTTTCCTCACTATTCCCATTCCCCTGTCCCTACCCTTTCTTCTCCTTTGTCCAATTCAATGAGCTTCTATTCTTCCCCTCCCTAACCTCCCTTATTATGTGTTTGGTTTTTTTGGGATTGGCTTAGTTCACTTAGCATAATAGTCTCCAGTTCCATCCATTTACCAGCAAATGCCATGATTTCATTCTTCTTTATGGTTGTCCACTTATCAACTCTTAACAAGCTCAGGAACATGTGAAGATGACACAATCACAATTGTGTTCATGTTACAAATTTTTATCTGTTTTTCTTTATTATAAAAGCATTATACATTCATATCAGAAGTATGAGCTCACAAATGATTTCATCTATCTATCTACTCATCTTTATCTTTTTTTTTTTTACTTTTTATTTTGGAATTAATTTTAACTTACAGAAAAATTACAAGAGCAGTACAAAGAATTTTCACTTGTCTTTGCACAGAGACTCTATTCAGATTTACCCACCTGTTCCAATAATATCCTTTATAATAAAAGGATCTCATTCAAGGTTAAGTGTTGCTTTTAGATGTAGTGTCTTGTCAGCCTTCTTCAATCTAGAACAGTTCCTCAGTCCCTCATTGAACTGGTTATAGGCCAATTATTTTGTTGAATGCCCCCTCAGTTTGGGTTAGTGCACAGTGTCCTCATGACCAGAGTCATTTTGGGCAGGAATATCACGGAAGCAATGGTCTATGATTCACACTGTGTTCCCTCTGATGACACATGATGTGGTTCACTGCATTCCATTAAATGACACACAGTGCCAATTTGTTCTATCACTGCTTATGTCAGCTTTGATCACCTGGGTAAGGTAGTCTATGCTTTTGTTCCACTGTATAATTACCCCATTCCCTATATAATTAGTATTTTTTGTATAGGGAAATAATTTGAGGCTGCTTCTATCATTTCTTCCACATTTAAAAATCAGTATTCTAAGCAAGCACTTTCTCTTCTCTGACTGTATATATTACTTTTATCAATGAGAACTTATAGTTTCCTATTTTATTTCATAGTATATAATCTCTCATTGTCATTGTTTATTTTGATGTTCAAATTGTCCCATATTCAGCCGGTGGAGGCCCCTCCAAGTTAGTTTCTGTGTCTTTTTAACATTTCCCATCATTTTTTGAGCACTTCCTTCCTTTCTGACAAGCTGATTGAGGTGCAGCCTATATTTTTTTTCCTAGCCCAGGCCTGGGATCAACCATTTCTCCAAGGAACGTTGGGTTTAGGGTTTCTCAATGTACAATGCTAAAAAAGTATGGCTTTCCCCATTTTTTTTTTTTTTTTTTTTTTTGTAATCCAAAGAGAGACGGTACATTGGGTTTCAATGTGTGTATGGTGGGGGGAGGCTTACTGAAATGTGTATAACTTTGGTTCTCACCCATCAGAGAAATTTACCCTTTCCTTGAGGTCTTGTTATTTCAAATTCACACACTTCCATTTTTTGGTGGGATTTTGTTTTTGCCAAGTTTGCAGAGAAAACCTGAGTTCTTACCATCATCGAGATTACCTAGAAAGAGACCCTTTTTGTTAAGAGAGGCCCTTTTTGTTAAATCCAAATCATATTCCATCCTATTGTATATATGAAGAACATAATCATAATTTGAAAAATGTCCAAATTTTGCAAAGCAGAGTAGGTTTTCTTCCTGAACAAAGGATTGTCCTTTGGCACTTTTAATAAAGGATTCCTTCTCAGGTGCTCATTTAAACTGGGAGAGATCAACTGTACCCCCCCAGCACATACCAGACAAAAACAGACTTGGTGCCCTCAGTAGCTTGTCATTCTGAAAGCAGCTGACAAGAAAGCTTGATGATACCTGCTTTCCTCCCAGCATGAAAAAGCTGAAGAAAGAAGTATCTAGACTTTGACTCTGAGCTTGATTTGTGTTTCAGATTGCTGGGCTGATCGATCCCCACTTCATGAAGCTGCGGCTCAGGGGCGCTTACTGGCCCTTAAAACGTTAATTGCACAAGTAAGTATGAAAACATGATCCTTTATGCTGTGCCATATCGAGCATCATTCTTTCTTAGCTTTGACTGTAGCAGAGGTCTTATTTGCCTCATTTATTTAGGTCCCACCGTTTGTTCCTCTTGTTTCTTCTTTTCCTCATTTTTGGCCCGGGTACCTCCTTTCCCTTCTGGGCCTTTCTTTACCTCATAGGAAGTTTCTCTATGACGATCAATGAAAGATACCTTCAAATTTATGTTGAACTAACTCACCTCATTGTCTCCTAGTGTACATTAGAGACAGCAGTCCTGAAGTCTCACTTGTCAGCTATTGCTGTAACAAATTACCTCAAAACATAGTCACTAGAAACAACAAACAGATATTTACAGTTTCTGTGGGCTGGGAAGAAGTTTCCAGGCCACAAGATGTCATCCAAGGCTGTAGACATCTCATGGTTTAACTGGGGGCACAATCTGCTTTCAAACTCACTCATGTAGTTGTTGGCAAACTTCAATTCCTTGCCACATGGGTCTCTCCGAAGGCTTGTGCCATGGGGTGGCAGTTGACTTTCCTCAGAGACAGCACCCAAGAAGGAAGTTGCAGTTTTGTTTTTTTTTTTTTAGGATTTTAAAATCATATATATATATATATATATATATATATATATATATATATATATATATATATTAGTTACACATGACAGTACAATGATCTTGACATATCATACATTTCAATCAGATGGGATATAATTTCTCATTTTTCTGAGTGTACAGGTTGCAGAATTACATTGGTCATGCAGTTTTTTTTATAACCTAATTTCCAAAGTGAAATCCCATCTCTTCTGCCATATTCTACTCATTAGATACGACTCAATAAGTTCATCCCACACTCAAAGGGAAGGCATTATACAAGTGACTCAATATTAGGAATTAGGAATCACTGGGCACCATCTGAGGAGGCTGCTTGCCCCAGTGATATGCTTTCAAGAGCAAGCATTAAAATAGGTTGAAAAAATGGATAAATCTTACTCTTTAGTGAAGACTTATGACTACATCCCAAGCATGTTGAACAATGAGTAGCAGCCTAGTAAATATTTGTGACTATTTTGAATTTAAACAGCCAGGGGAACTGCTCTTTGTGTGTGTGTATGTATGTGAGTGTGTGTGCATGCTCCCCCCTCCCCATTTTTGCTTCCTCCTTTCTGAGTTCTGTTATCCCATAACAAAGTAAGCAGAGGCACAAGGAAAACAGCATTGTCAGTAATGATGAGCATTGTACTTGAATTTGTGACTTGCTTATTTTTTAAGCACTTTTAATTTCATCTGATTTGATTATTTTGTTATATATGTAATATATTCACATAGTTCAATAATAGTGAAAAAAGTCTCATATCCACCTCCCTTTCAGACCCCCACCTTTATACTTTTACTAGTATTTTAATAAACTTCAGTTTGGAATAATTTTCAAGAAGAGTTGCAAAGGCAATACAGAGAATTACCAGGCATCCTTCACCCAGCTTGCCCTGATGTTGACATCTTATATATAGCCTTAGTACATTTGTCAGGAATAAGAAATTAGCATTGGTACAATAACCATTAACCAAGCTGCAGACTATTGGGATTTCATGAGCCTTTCCCCTGTTGTCCTTTTCCTGTTACAGAATCCAACCCAAGATCCCATATTGCATTTAACACTTATTATTTTGAACCCTAACTCCTAAGCATGTTAGCTTCAACAGTGTGGTTAAATGTATAGGGGCATTTCATAAAAATTTTAACTTTTTCTGGCTACATCCCTACTTCTTTACCTTTCACACTGTAAAAAAATATATTCTACTTTTTAAAACTTTATTCCACATTTAGATAATGTGGTAAATGTGAGTAAAACATTAAACCACTCCGAGTAAATGTGAGTAAAATATTAAGCCAAGGTTCTGGGGTTATTACACTGGCTGTCACCAAGTCTTACCTATAATTTGAACTTTCTGCCTCCTGCGTCAAGTCTTACATATAATTTGAACTTCCTGCTTCTTCATTTTATCACACACAATTAAGATGATTCACTTTAGATATCTTTCAGGCCTGTCCATTACATTTCTCCAATTCCAGGGATTCTGAGATTTTGTATTGCAGCAATTATTTTTCCCTAGCACAATGCTGCCACCTCATGGACTAGACTGTTTTAAAATCTTAATTTCTGGGCTGGGGATGTGGCTCAAGCGGTAGCGCGCTCGCCTGGCATGCGTGCGGCCCGGGTTCGATCCTCAGCACCACATACAAACAAAGATGTTGTGTCCGCAGAGAACTAAAGAATAAATATTAAAAAAAAAAATCTTAATTTCTTAAAAAGAAATCAAAATGAATTCCACTATTCTGTATAATTACAATGTGACAATAAAAAATTTAAAAACAGGGGCTGGGATTTGGGCTCAGCAGTAGAGCGCTCGCCTAGCACGGGTGGGACCCGGGTTCGGTCCTCAGCACCACATAAAAATAAAGGCATTGTGTTGTGTCCATCTACACCTAAAAAAATAAATATTTTTAAAAAATTTAAAAACAAATCATACATGGAGAAATGAAAAGGAAAAGATTAATTTATTAGATATTGAATTTGAAATATGTAGCACAGCTCTAGAGTAATGACATATTCAGGACATGAAAATGGACAGAATTCAGGAGACATAGAAAGCCCATATGATAAAAGGACAGGCAATAAAAACCTGGCCACAGCAGGTTGCACCTGACACTACAGAGATGTGGCAGGATGCAGTGAGTACTAGATTGGAGTTTGCCATTCCGGGATTGTAACACAAGGCTTTGGAAGCTTTCAATAGGCCATTACAAAGCATGGACTCAAAATCAGGAATTGGCAGGAAGGACAGATCAGGGACCTAATTCCTTTTGCAGATAGAAAATGTCAGTCATAGAGGAAATGGGAACAGCCAAGTTGTTAAAATCAGGGTGTGAAGGCAGAGTTGTCCAGCAGCTAGGCTGACTTTGTCACCTATCACTTGGACTCTAGGATAAGCAAGGTAGTACACGGCAGTATGAGAAGGGGGGATGGGCTAGGAAATGGTGGTGACAATCATACATAGGTAAGGAGATAGATAAGGGTTAGGAGAATCCCTCTGGCCCTAGACACTGGGACTTCAGAGTCTTCTCCATGTAGTGGGGTTATGGCCAAAGCAGTACTTCTGCCACACAGCAAGTGATTCTTAGAAGCAGTCTTACAGAACTTTCTACTTTTAAGCCCAGAGTCATTCTTCTGTTTCAGACCCAGTTTTAGCTCCCAACCTCCTCTGTGTTCCATCACCTACTCATCTTACCCTATAGCAATGTCTCTGTGGCTCTCCTTGCTTCTGCCTCACATCTCTGCCTCTGCCATCAGCCATCCATGTTGCTGCTTCCACTATGCTTTTCCTAAAACAGCTAATCTATTAGCTCTAGATTGTTCAAAGCCTAACAAACTTATAGATGCTTCATTCCCTAGAAGATCTGCACTCCGTTTGCAAATCAAGGCCTTTCATGATATTGCTTCAGTTCACTGGCTTCCTGCATCTCTCCCCATCTTCTACTTCCGCTTTCTGTATGCTCTTTCTGATCCAGAAATAACCAACTGTCCAACTGTGGCCCTGCCATACTTCCTGCATTTGTGTATTCTGTTCCCTCTTAATGGCATACCCTGTCTTCCCAGTTTTAAAGTTTTTACGCTTCAAGCCTTAGTTAAATACTACCTTATTTGTGAAGTATTTTTTCTTATTTCCCAAGCCAGACTCAAGGAAACTCTGTGCTCCCAAGTGAAATGTGGTGCTTCCAATCTCAGTCTTTTAGGTTTCATTTCTGCCTGCCCAGTAGGCTCTGGAGGAGACAGACCAGTAGCATAAATTTTGAAGACCCTGATCCAGAATACTGCATAAACATTTATTGAATAAATGAAATTGAAGCTCCCATGCTGTGCTGAGACTCACCTGGTCATGGTCTTGACTCCTCTCTATGCAGTGCTGATATTACAACCAAAGACTGAAAACTTCAAGAACCTGTTAAACAACATTGCTTTCACTGCTATGACTAATGGAACATTTAATTATCTTCTCTTCAAATTATAGGGTGTCAATGTGAACCTTGTGACAATTAATCGGGTCTCTTCTCTCCATGAGGCATGCCTTGGAGGACATGTGGCTTGTGCTAAAGCCTTATTGGAAAATGGTGCACATGTGAGTACCACCCCTGCCCATATGGATCTGTCTTCGTAGGTACATCTTCTAACACCTAAAGAGACAGCATCTTCCAGGCTGCTGAGAGGGACTGGGTGGAGACAGGTCTTATCCCACGCATGTTCATATCTCATCATTCATATTACTCCGTTTTCTCAGCCTAACCATGTGCGAATATCCAAATGCAGCAATTCACAGGAATTTTTCAAAATTATGATGTTGACTTGTTTTTTGCGGTGCTGGGGATAGAACCCTGGGCCTCATGCATGCTAGGCAGCTGTTCTATCACTGAGCTACTTCCCTAGCCTGTGATGCTGACTTTAAAAAAAATTCTTTGTTATCAAACACGATAAAGAACAAATTTTAACAGAATAATAAAACACTCTTAATTCAGTATTCTACCCCAGCCACTATTTTTATTGAGCAAAATTATAAAATTGAGTTTTTAATAAATAATACATTAAAACAAATTAAGGTTTATCTTATTTTAACTTATATCTTAATTTCTTCAATTAATAGCAGAGGTGCTATGTATAATACAGCTCTCAGAATAGGCTTATAAAAATCAAAACTTCTGCAAATCTCAATGACATCCAGAAAATGCTTTATTGCTAATTTCATTGTTTAATCTAGTCTCATGTTCTTTGTTTTATGAGTTGTAATATCTTTTTCCTTTTTTGTGGTGCTAGGGATTGAACCCAGGGCCTTGTGCATGTGAGGCAAGCACTCTACCAACTGAGCTATATACCCAGCCAAAGTTGTAAGATCTTTAAGTATTTAATGATGATTTTTTTTTCAGATTGCATATGGAAGTTAGGTTTCTACATTTAGAACTGAATATAAAAGTCTTCTGGGCACAAATTGATTTTTCCAGTGTCATCATGGTGCTGCATTTCCATTAGGTAGTGCTTCTCTAAGTTGTCACTTAACTCATGGGTAATGATGAGAACAAGGCTCTGGGAGGGTGATTTCATTTCAAGCTAAATGACTGGACTTACAAGCAGATCACTGGTGGGAAATGTTGAACACTTATCTCTGGTCAGAGAAGAGATCTTGTGGAGGACAAAGCAAAGGATAAGACAATGGTCTCTTGTCTTTGGCAATTTTATAAGGTAAAAGCCAATAAATGCCGTATTATACCACTTGACATTAAATCAGAATGGGTGAAAGTTTGGTCAAGCAGTAGAAAGTTCACCACAATCTGCTGCTGCTCGGATTCCTCAAACTCAGCACATCTGAAACTGTGTATATCATGTTCTTCCTGCTGGAATCTGCTCCTCATCTTGGGCTCCCAGTTTCAGATACTAGGCGAAACATTCTTCTGGTCTCCCATGCCTGGGAGTCATCTTGTTCCTGCCATTTTCTTATTTATTTAATCACAAAATATTTCTATTTTCCCTTGTATTTCTCAAGTCTATGTTCTTCTTTGTTCCACTCCCATAGAGATCTAAAACACTTGTTTGTATCTAAATTGTCTCCTTTTATGTTTGTCTTCCCTAATAGAACTCAACCTACTTAAAGAGAGGCAATTGTCTTACTTATCTTTGTTTATAAAATATTGGCCCCTAGTAGATACTCAGTAAATGTTTGCTGATATGAACCAGGAGAGAAACTTACAGGAAATCAAAGAGTTTCCTGACAGAGGATAAGGATGGTGCTTATTAAAAAACAAATCAAACCAGTTTCATGATTTTTTTTTAGTAAGAAATCCCTAGCATATGATTCTTATGCAATTTTCTCCATCTTTGTCTGTTTGTGCCATTTTAATGGGGTTATACCAGAGCCCTGGAGACAAGTCATTTTTGTTTCTAAATAAGATAATTTAGAATCCTGATTATTCCAAGCATCTATCTTTACTTATTGAGGTCAAGCAGTTTGACGTCAAACTACCATTGTGATATGACATTTGAATCATATCAGAGCCTCCCTCCCTGAATACCTGGGTCCCATGGTGTTCTTTTCTATCTATTGTTGATACTCAATGATACTTCCCAGTCCTGCAGGTTCTCATGTGTTTCCCATATCACTAGAAGTTAACAAGGATGATTAGAGATAATTGAAGGCTATTGTCTATGTGCCTTTAGCTTGGTCATTATCTCTCAGGAGTCAAAGCTGGCACGTGCAATTTCTGTAGATTATAATAGAACAGAGAGAAAATATGTGACAAGAAGGATGGTAAAACTGTTGGAAGTTGTGAAGGAGTTTTTTTCTGTAAGCACAGGATTTGGAATCTTCACCCATTTTGTCCCATTATCCCAGATATAAATACTTAAATTGAGCAACAAATATACCACTTATTATAACTTTGAAATAATTATTGTTTTTTCAAAGATCTATTATCTTAAGAAAAAAATCATAGGTAAATGATCAGAGCATTTGAAATATATATGTATCATATTTATGATTATATATAAATGATACATAAGTTCTAGGTTATGATTTCCTCCTATTTTAATGTACTTATATCAATTTCATTGACATATTCACAGAATTGAGAACTTGGAACTTAATGGGTTAAGCTAGTTGGTTTCTCTATTTCTTTGGGTTTCTGCCAGGTTTGTTCACAATTGAAAAGGGAGATGAGCTCCATATTAATTGGAAATGGGAATAATAGTTGTTGCAAATGTTCATTCAGTGCCAGGCAATATTTTGTTTAACATATAGTAATTTAATGGACCGTCCTATAACCTTATGTAGTTTCATGTAAAGGGAGTTCCCTCACTCATTCATTAGCTTGGGGAGTTTCCCTAGGCACATACACAGGAATACATACTTAGAGAGAGTGAGAACAAACTACCAAATCCTCTGGGTCTCTGCTTGCCCACTGTTAGGTCAATGGAGTGACAGTTCATGGAGCTACGCCCCTCTTCAATGCGTGCTGCAGTGGCAGTGCTGCGTGCGTCAATGTGCTGTTGGAGTTCGGAGCCAAGGCCCAGCCTGAGATGCACCTGGCTTCACCTATCCATGAGGCAGTGAAGAGAGGTAAACGAGCCACCACAATGCACACAAAACAGTGGTGTGCTCACTCTGAATAAATCAATAGTCTACTGTTGGCCATATGAGAGTCACCCACATCTTTTCACCAACAGAATGTGTGTGGCTTAGAAATCCTACAGCAGTAACTTCAATTTGTCTAAATCTTTCAGAAATGCCACTGTGGCATGAAAAGGCTCTTCTCAATACATTGGAATGTCGTTGTGTTTCAGATGTCCCACTTCCTGGGCCTCTTTGCTGGTGTTTTGGGAGCAGCTAGTGCAGCCAAGACAGAAGTTGTAACTTCATGATTTATACTGAGCTTATGCCTCTGCCCTTTAGTAGAAAAGAACAGCTCATCTTCCAAAACCCATAAAATATCAACCACTAACATAAAATAAATTATGAAAGTACTTGAAAGCCAAGGATGATACTATCTCTAATGGATTAGTAAATGTATCTGTCCTTAAGAAATACACTTCAGATGAGCTGATGACTTCAAGGCCATAGTCACGAAAAAAAAAAAAAAAAAAGAAAAGAAAAGCATTTCAACTTGAAAAATCAGGGCATTGGAAATTTTGAAGTTGACTCTAGACTCCTATATTGTCCATTACTTTTGAAATGAGAAAAAAAGAGTAATTTTAAGGAATTTTCAAACTATATGCATAGACTAGTCATGAACAATAAAAGATGCCATTAAAAAGATACGGTCGTTTGTCAAAGGTCATACCCAAAATGCAACATTTTGGCGATGTCTAGCAATACAGATACTTCTCTTATATTAAAATCAGAAATACAATGGAGAAGTTAGAACAATCTAGAATAGGTCTTTGCTGGTGTACTTGAAGATGAAAGTCTTTACTTCAAAAGGCAAAAGTGAAAGATTTGCCCCCAGGTTAATAAACATGTCATTTGGTATTTTTTCCCCAGTGGATCACTTTAAATGATACAAAAGACCCAAATCTCAATATATCTATGTCTTTTATGTATAAAACACTCTTAGTAAATATTATTTATTAATTAATAATGTGAGCCATTTCCCAAGCATCCTTTAAATTGCAGAATAATGAATTATTTTGAAAATGAAAGTCTTTTAAAAATTTTAATAATGATTTGAAGTAAAAAAGGTTACTTGCATGTACATTCAAATGTTTAAAAATAGATAAATATTGGGAATAATTCAAATTTCTTTTCTTCTTTCTTTTTCTTTTTTTTTTTTTTTTGTACTTCAGATTGAACCAGGGGTGCTTTATCACTAAGCTATACCCTAGATCTTTTTATTTTTGTTTTTTGTTTTTTTGAGACAGGTTCTCACTGAGTTGCTGAGGGTCTCACTAAGTTGCTAAGACTGGCCTTGAACTTGTAATCCTCCTGCTTCAGTTTCCCGAGTCCTGGGATTACAGGCGTGTGCCACTGTGCCCAGCTCAAATTTCTTAAGTAATTCTGCAGTGCTTGCCTGATTATGTATGGAGTGTTTTGTATCTGTGTGCCTACAAGTTTATATCTCTACATATTTTTTCTATTTCATAAAAGCTCGTTAAGGAACAATATGCACAGAATGGAAGAATGCTTAGCAAATTCATTGTTTTAGATATTGTTATATGAATTTTAGTCATTAAGTTTTGTTTGTTCATTTTTTAAAACTTCCTGAGACTATTTAAATTTATCTCCAACTAGGCTAATTTTTCTGTTCTGCCAAAAAAGGCAAGAATTATTAAAAAAATGCCTTGTATTTGTTAGGCAGTTTTAGGCACTGATTAGATTTTTTTTTTCCAGAAACTGTTTAGGTTTAAACATCTATGAGCAAGCTGGGTCATAGTCTGAGTCAGTATCTTGATATATTGATACTATAGTCCAGGTTTAAGATTTATTTATGTGACCAAATACTTTGAATACACAAATCCTGATTGGTACATTGTAATGCATACTTATGATTAATTCAGAATTTGTGATAAATCGTGCAGGTATAGGATGAAAATAATGTTATCTATAAAGAAAAGGTTGGTTAAATTAGTGATGATAAGATTGTTTAAGGAAACATTTAAATCTTCAAGGAGAACTGAATTTTTATAAGCTTCCATCAGTACCTCAGAAATATTCCCTCCTGAGCAGATCATTCAGATACTGCAAATTAATCATGTCTGTCTCTTCATTGGACAAACTCTCCAAGGAGAATGCTTACTTTCATAATCTTGCTAGTCACTGAATTTCAAAGTATATTTAAATATATTCTATACATGAGACTTTTTATTCGTTCTCATAGGTATCTTCTAGGCTAACCTAAGTAAGCTTGCAGGCCACACCCCCAGTCTCACCACTGTCTTCAGGGTAATAGCAGGGTGTCTTCATTTACCCCTCTGGGTCTTGTAGCCTCCATTTTAAAATGGTGTCTTCATTCTAGAAAGTGATTTCAACTGTGTTCCTCAGAGCCTTAGTTTGGTTGGAGTTTTCTCAGGAATTACACAGAGGAGTTTGAATGGAAGAAGCATGGGTATCAACTATTCCATGCCAAAAGAACTAAAATCAGCATACTATAGTGATACAACCATCTCAATGTGTACAGCAGTACAATTCACAATAGACAAATTATGGAATCAACCCAGATCCCTGTCAATAGATGAATGGATCAAGAAAATGTGGTATATATATTCAATGGAGTTTTGCTCAGCCATAAAGAACAAAACTATGACATTTGCTGGCACATGGATAGAAATGGAGAACGTCATGTTAAGTGGAATAAGTCAGACTCAGAAAAGCAAGGGTCAAATATTTTCTCTCATCTGTGGAAGCTAGAGCAGAACAAAGGAAAGAAGGTGGTCAGGGAGGGGATCAGATATCATAAAGATACAGGGAAGACCAATGGAGTAGAAGAAGGAAAACAAGAGGGAGGAAGGATGGGAAAGGGGAAGATAAGTGGAGTGAATTTAACAAAATCATGTTATATATTTATATATAAAGTTACCAAGGAAATTTCACCTCTATGTATGTGTAGAAGAAAGGAAGTTTAGTAGAGTAGAAGAGGAAAAATAGGGGGAAGAATAAGGGGAGGAAAGGGGGGAGGGGAAATGGGGATTGAAATAAAATTTCTTGCATGTATGATTCTGTCAAAATGAACCCAAATACTATGCATCATTATAATGTTTTAAATTTTAAATATCCTTTAAAAAAAAGAAGCATGGGCATGCTGTTCTTCTTAGTCGTTTTTGTTTGGGGAGGTTATATTTATGATTTCCAAAACCAAACAAAAACATTTTTCTACTATGAAAAGAGACCTTGATTATTTCTAAAGCTCATTCCAGATAGTGAATCTATAATTCTGTGAATATTCAATGTGTTCCTAATATGAATGGGATTATCTTATGTTCCACCAGGTCACAGGGAGTGCATGGAGATTCTGCTGGCAAATAATGTTAACATTGACCAAGAGGTGCCTCAGCTTGGAACTCCCCTGTATGTAGCCTGCACCTACCAGAGGGTAGACTGTGTGAAGAAGCTTCTAGAATTAGGTAATTACCAGAAATCTTTTTATGAAAAGAACCTGCTAAATTTGTGGGGGTTTTCAATGGCTTCAAAGATGAAGTTCTTATTAGGATAGAAAAAAAAATTCTGATAGCATTTGATGCTTGAATGCTAGAAACAGAACTTCTCCAGAGAAATGGGTGTCTATATTTATCAGTTCTGCTCCCTTTGATATTGGCTTCAATTACCTGGTATGGCTCTTCCTGGCGGTCTCAAGATGGCTACTGCAACATCTGGGTTTGTTGCCTTTCTCATCCATACACAGCAAGAAGGGGTATTGGCTCTTTTATTTTTCCTTCTTTGTTTTTTTTTTTTTTTTTTTTTTTTGTGATGCTGGGAATTGAACCCAGGGTCTTGTGTATGCAAGGCAAGCACTCTACCAACTAAGTTATATCCCCAGCCCAGTATTGGCTCTTTTTGATTCACATACTTATCTCTGAACCAATAAAGGTGGCCAAAGGAATACAATACGCTAATTGGTTTAGGCCTAGATTTTAGTTTAATCTGTAGTTATTAGGCTTCTCTAGAAACACGTAAACTGGAAATCACAAGAGGGTGGTAACCTAGAGGGAAATCTAGCTGTGGTTACCAGGAAGATGCTGTACAGTAAAAACAACAGATATTTGCTACAGACTATTTTACCTCTATCCTGAAAAGTCATTTAGTCATTTTTAAATCTAAAAGACATATACAGAAACTGAGATTTTAGGGAAAAGTAAAATATCTTGAAAGTATCATTTGGTTAAAGATTCAATGTGCTTAGCCTTTGACATAAAGGCAGAGATTTAGTCAGAACCTTTAGTTGAGAATTTTTATCTCCAAGACGTTGTTTGGTCATTTTTTATTCATAGCATTTACTATTCTCTATGGAGTTCAGAAAATTTTTTGAGCCCTAAATAATATAAAATAAATATGAAATAAATAAATAAGAGAACTAAATACAACATAAAAATAAGGAAATTCAGCTTTATACTTGGTCAAAATATAAAATAACTATGTACTAGTTATTAACTATTTCCCACATTTTGTGTGGGAAAGCAAGTAAACTATTTAAAATGATTAAAATTATCCAGATTCACTTTTTTATCCCACTATTTTGAATGGTCTTAGTGGGCATTGTGGAGGTTCTAGGCTGAAGTTACATATTTTCAAGGATTTGTCAAATATGTCGTGGCATTTGAGATGACTTCATATACAGTGACTACAGTTTAGGCTGATTGTGTTTTACATTCACACCTAATGTTGAATTGTGGCCATTTCCTTTGTTAAGGAGCCAGTGTTGACCATGGCCAATGGCTGGACACCCCTCTCCATGCTGCAGCAAGGCAGTCCAGCGTAGAGATCATCCACCTGCTGACCGACTATGGGGCTAATCTGAAGCTCAGAAATGCACAGGGAAAAAGTGCTCTTGATCTGGCAATTCCCAAAAGTAGTGTAGAGCAGGCACTCCTACTCCGAGAAGGTAAGGAAGGGCTGGGTGTCCACTTCTTTTCCTTAAGCCCACTTGCTATCTCTCCTTCCTTCCACATCCCTGCAATATTTTCTTTTCCTTTTTCTCTTCCCAATTGGGGATGATATTGCAGAAGGCATCAAGTTCCGGCATCACTACCATGTCTTCTGGGATTTTATATGCTGTGTTCATTCACTTAATAACAAAATAACATAGACATGCAATCAGATCATTGCTTTTTATTTTCCATAAAAAGAAAATAATCAGATAACCTTGTTGGCATCCTGAAAAGGATGAATATCCAGGGATATCCTATCATATGCACATGATTAAGCAAACCGAAAGTCCACTTTGTAATATTGGGAGACAATCCATAGGCAAATTAGAAATACAGCCACATTCCTCATAACAACCTTCAATGATGATCAGCATATACAACCCATTGTCTCATGAGGTTATATCACATAGTGACATCATAGCCATTTTGGTTTGTATAAGTACATTCTATGATGTTTGCACAATGTTGAAAGTGCTTAATGATTCATTTCTCAGAACTTATCCCATTGATAGGTGACATGTGACCATACTTAAGTTTGGGGCAGTAGAAGGGACAGAAGGTGTATTTCAGAAGCCTAACTAAATGGTGAGATTGTTTGCCTTTTCTCCAGATTGAGGAGTATGTGGTTCTATGTTCCTCATCTCCTCACTCCTATTTCCATCATGAACGTTAAGAGCAACTATCAGTGCCAGGGAAGGAATAGTAACCTTCTAAAATGCTTGGTGTCTCAAATTCAAAAGAGAGCCCTATTATGTCTGTATAGTAAGAAGACATTTTGTGAGCCTTCATTGATCATTTGTATGCTGGGGAGAATATTAAAGATAAATTGTGCCAGCACTGAGATGAATTTGAAGCATAGATTAATCTCACTGAATTCTTTAAACTTAAAAGCAGTGAAAACCTTATAGTAGCTGGTGCTGTGCCAGCTACAAATGGGAAAATTAAAGCATGGAGAGATTGGCTTGCAGAGAGTGATATAGCTACTAAGAAGTAGGACTAGGATTCTAACCCAGCTGTCTGACCCCAGCTGTCTGACCCCCTCTTAATGCTGTAAGGCCCCAATCCTAAAGCTTCTAGAACAATTTCTGGTGTGTGTGGGTCTCATTTCACTTGCTGGTTCCATTTTGTGAACTCACTCCCATGTCTAATATCTTCCAAGTAGAATGCTTTGTTAAATCATTTTAGGAAGTCTCTCTACACCAGTGCCTCTTAAACTTTCATGCACATATAGATGATGACCTGGGGATCTCATTTAAAAAGCAGATTCTGATTCTGGAGGTCGAGGATTAAACTCTGCATATCTAATAACTTTCCAGTTGATTCTGCTGCTGCTGGTGTAAGGACCACACTTTGATCACTATTGGTCTAGATTATTTCCAGTGGTCTATGTCATTAGTGATTGTTGTTTTACTTGAATCTTCAACAGAATAATTATGATATTCCTTACCAGGTACTTTGCAATGATTGGTTGAGTATATAGTTTATAGCAGTTGTCACATTTCTGGTTTTCTTCCATCAAAAATGTTTCCAGGTCAAGGATTTACATTCTTATAAGCAAGTTCCTCTGTGTGCTATCTTTATAAATATAGGCACCTGCTCTAAAGGAGGAACATCAGCTATGCCAAGTTCACTTGTGTCTGAACTTCTCCAGGCAAACAGGACAATTTGTCCATGTTACTGTTTTTCAGAGGAGCTTAGTTATTTTTTTTATTTCTAAAAGTTTGACCCTAGATGTAAGGGGTGACAGGTAGAGATATTTTTGATTCCTGAGATTTTAACTGAAGATATTCATCTTCCAGGTACCTCTCTATCCATGGATGTTCCTTGTCAATGTCATTCTAAGTGTTACCTGGATATTTGCATATGCAGTCTACCTTTTTTTCCCTTTGTGGTACTGGAGGTTGAACCCAAGACCTCACATATGCTAGGCAAGCACTTCACTATTAAGCTATACTCTCAGCCCTTCAGTCCACCATTTATCATGAGGTATAAGATGCTGTTACAGTAGGATTTTCTTGAAAAAGGAAAGTTTGTATAGGTCAGTAGTTAGATATACTTGAAGAGATCTTTACTGATAGGTTAGGAAATAATGGGATAATATGAATGCCCCTGTAGTGCCGCAGTCTGGCTGGGCACAATTCAGGAGCCACTTGTCAAAAGAAACGAACTTTATTTTTAGAACACACACACCAAACCACACAGCTCCTCAGGAAAAACCTTCAGAGCCCAACTGCCACCACTGGCTTCCCACAAGCCTCTCCACCTCCCCCACTCCTCCTGCTCTTGAGGCTGATTGGCTGGGTCGCATGGGCAGAGCCAAAAAAAGTCCCCCAATGAGCAGCTCCGTGGTCTGAAAGGGCGGGGAAATACCCCAACACTACCACAAGTCGCTGCACCAACAGATAGTTCACAATGCATACAGGTGAGTTCACAATGCATACAAGTGATTCATAGTCCAGGCAAGTTCTGCAAGCAGTTCAGTGATGGCTCCTTTTGGAAAAATAAACAGCCCAATGAGCATCACCGCAGAGGAGCCAGTCAGTTGGCAGCTAGAAGTTTGCTGGGGCTGCTGTGAGCCAATCATCAACTGGCAGCTGGAAATTTGCTGGCAGCTGGAAGTTTGCTGGCAGCTGGAAGTTTGCTGGGGCCCCTTCGGCTGTGGCTCTCAACATCTCCCCCTCTCTATTTAAACAACAAGCATGTGGCTTAGGGACCGTGCCTGCCTTAGGTTGTCCAATACTACATATGGTCCTTACCCATCGTTGGATGAGCTGACCTCAAGGCGTCAGCCTCCTGTCTTAGGTTGGTACCATTGCAATTGGATCTTACCCGTCACTGACTACAGGTCCAGTATACAGCCACACCTGTGGATAGGTCTTTGTACCAGTGGGGGGGGGGTGAGGTTCTTTGCCTCACCTCTGTTGGCCCCCAAATTTTAGCTGAACGACCATGACAAGCAGAAGGGAGGAAGATATACCAAGCCAATTGACGGCTCCTTTTGGAAAAATTGTACCACTGATGACATCATCAGCAAAAGAGCCAATCAGTTGGCAGCTAGAAGTTTGCTGGGGCCGCTGTGAGCCAATCATCAACTGGCAGCTGGAAGTTTGCTGGCAGCTGGAAGTTTGCTGGGGCCCCTTCAGCTGTGGCTCTCAACACTGTAGAACTAGTATTGCAACCCAGAACTCATTCATCCTATTCATCTATATTTTGAACTCTCATCAACTTATTTTCCTTAAGGATTCAAAGCTACTGAAAGTCATGGACATGAGCACTCTGAGACCCCATGAAAGTGAGGTTCAGGGAATTATGGGGTCTAAGTGCTTTAAGTTCTTTCTGCACATCCTTATTGAGCTGAAATCTTTGCAAGAATGGAGGGTCCCTCTGGGTGTGAGATAGGACCCAGCCAATACCACCTCATGGCCAACTAGTGTCAGGAGGTCCAGGAAGACATTAAGGGCTACATATTTGGCCCCTGGCCCATCTCTTAATACTGCCTCTGTGGCCACACAGGTCAAAATTCCTGTTGACACCTGCTCTGCAGCTCTGTCTTGGGGTCTTGCATGCTATAGTCATTTGCATTTTCTCCTTGTTCAGTATATCACTGTTCAATAGCACAGGGCACATAAATGAGGTGCATTCTCTTTATACCCCCTCACTTCTTTCCTAATTGCCTCTGGATAGCCTCATTCTTTGATGTTGGTAATACAATTGGAAGATCAACTTAAAGAAAAGCATCTCTTCTAGAGGGCCAAATAAGGATTCCCTGCTACCATGAGATTCACACCATTTTTATTCCCTTTCTCAGGCCCACCTACTCTTTCCCAGCTCTGCCGCCTGTGTGTCCGGAAATGTTTGGGTAGAGCATGTCATCAAGCCATCCACAAGCTACATCTGCCGGAGCCACTGGAAAGATTCCTCCTGTACCAGTAGCCCCAAATGTCCATGGGAAGATACTTGGAAATAAGTAGGTTGTTGTCTGCTGTACCCAGGGTACTTATTATAGACGCCCAACAGCTAGGTCATCAGTATCTTCCAATGAGCTCAGCCAATTAGAGGAAATCCTTTATAAACAGGAACCTTAAAGTTTTTAGCTCTTGCTGTTAATAAACTTAAAAAAAACTGTGAAGTAGAATGAAAATAATAGACTATTTTCTGATAATACAGGATTTCCCAGTGCATATGGGTCAACATTTTTAATATTGTACAGATCCACATAAATCCAGGTGAATAGGATTATAATGAATGTTAAGAATTCCAGAATGTGCTCTTGATTTAATTCCTCTCTTCTACCCCTTTCTTCCCTCCCCCCCTCTTTTTCTTTCTTTACCGCCTCTTTCTTCTCTTTCCTTGAATAAATCTATGCTGTAACTTTGGTTTTTCTGCCTTTTTAAAAGACACATAAAAAATGAAATATTTTGAAAACATCACAGTTACTTGGGACTTCCAATTCTTGAGGTCCTGGTTGATAAGAGAGATTTTGGAAGAGATTAGCTCATATAGAGTTTAGGCTCCTTTGCTCATCATTTCTGATGTTAAATACTCTTCTTTGAAGGAATCTTAGACAATTGTAGGATTGCACAACAATAGTTGCCCCTCAACAACCTGAACTCATAAGCACTTTGTGATGCATTTAGGCACCCCAACATTGGCTTATTTTCAAACTCAAGATTCTCAGTTTTTTTTTTTTTGAAATGCCTACATGTTGATTCCAGCCACCAAGGTGGGCTTAATGCTGAGTCAATATTTTTTTTCTGTGAATAGGTGCCCAAAGTAAGCATAAAGATATATAAAAAGCCGTCTCCTCCTTTTTTTCTCCCTTCTTTTTCTTCCCATCTCCCTCCTTTTCTGCTACTCCTCCTCCTATCAGTTCCTCATTTCCCTTTTTGTGAATTTAGAACATGGGAACTCGATAGATTTTTCCATTATTATAAATTATTGTCATGGTTCAGTGACTATAGTAATATTAGCTTCTAAATGAAAATTCTCTCTCAGATGATCCTAAGATTCATTTTCAACATTTTTGCCCCCTAGTTTTTCTAGTCCTTTTGTTTTCAACAAGGGACAGTTTTGTCTCTCATCCAGGGACAGCTGTGGCAATGTGTGGAGACCTTTTCATTTGCAACAACTGAGGGGATGGAGCTACTCATCTCTATTGCGTAGAGGTCAGGGATGCAGCTAGAAACCCTATGATGTACAGGACAGTCCACAAAAAAGAATTATTAGGTTCAAAATATCAACAGTGCTGAGGATGAGAAATTGCTGTAGACCTATGCTATTTGGTTCAGTAGCTATCCACCACCTATGGCTGTTGGAATTGTGACTAGGTGAACTAAGATTTGCTGTACATATGAAATACATATCACGTTTTGAAGATTCAGTACAAAAAAGAACATGAAATATCTTATGAATAATTTTTGATGATGGTCACATATTTTTTTTTGTTTTTTGTTTTGGTTCACTGATGAATTCTTTTAAAAATTTTTTTATTTTTAAAAATTTATTCTAATCAGTTATACATGACAGTGGAATGCTCTTCGATTCATTTTACACAAATGGAGCACAATTTTTCACTTCTCTGGTTGTTCACGAAATGGGGTCACACCATTCATTCAATCATACATGTACCTAGGGTAATGATGTCTTATTCCACCATTTTTCCTACCCACGATGGTCACATATTGAAGTGATAATATTTTGGATGTATTAGGTTGAATAAAGTATATTATTGAAATTAATTTCACTTGCTTCTTACTTTTTAATGTAAAAATGTAATACATATAATAACGATTTAGATTACATATGTGGCTCATATATTTCTGTTAGAACTGCTCGGGACCTCTGATTATTATAACTTTGTGATATCTAATAATCCTAATTAGTTAACTATCTGGGAAAAAGATTAAGTTCTTATATTTCAAAACCAAATCTTGAATTTTTTGTGAATGTTAAAAAGTTTAAATATATGGTAAAAATACTACAAGAAAATGTACATGAATGTACATGAAAGGGAAGGTATTTATAATAACAAAGGCAGAATATTGATAAATTAGAATATATTAAAGTTATGTTGCAAAAAAATGCCAGACAGAAAATGAAAGGACAAGCACAAATGGAGAAAAGGGTATGTGATATTTATGGTAGATTAAAAGTTAATTGCTGGGCTTGATGGTGCATGACTGTAATCCCAGGGGCTCAGAAGGCTGAAGCAGGAGGATCCAAGTTCAAGGCCAGTCTCAGCAATTTAATGAGGCCCTAAGCAACTCGGTGAGACCCTGTGTCCAAATAAAAAATAAAAAGGGCTGGGGATGTGGTTCAGTGGTTAAGTGCCCCTAGGTTCAATCCTTCATACCCCCTCCCTCCAGAAAAGCTAATATTTGGAGTATAACAAAAGAGACCTTCACTCCCTGCCCTTAGCTTCCTTCCCTTTCCCAGTTGAGATTGGGAAGCAAGTATTTGGAATCTTTTTTGGTAAACAGGGGTGCTAAAACTTATTTTCAATAGTTTGAATTACTTCTTGCAAAATACCGAAATCATTCCGACCTACAGTACAGTCTGAAACATATGGTACTCTACACATTTTTTTAGAAGGAAAAGGAAAAAGTTTAGATTATTATCTGGCTCTACATGTTGTAGTATATGTATTGCATTACATGGTGGCAAAAAATATGTAAACTTGCTTGTTTTATGTGGTATAGCGCCTTTCCTTCTGTGATAGATTAACAAGATAAACAAATTCCTGAAGATTTTTTACAAATCTTAGGGAAGACAATTTTCACAAATGTTGGGGAAGTTATAGGATATTCCAAAATCTATGAAAAGAAGTACAATTCAAATCTGTTGCAAATGATGAAGGGCAGCATGATCTCCCTGATATCTACATTTTAAATTATCAATGGTTCACTTGTAAATTAACAAGAATAGTACAGTTTCACTAATAGAAATATTATCAATGGGAAATGATTTAAAATTTATCAAAGGTGACACAAATGAATAGCCATAATATGGAATACTGATGAAGAGAAAGGATGAATTTGAAACAAGACAAGGAGCCGTTTGAGCCATTGCTAGCCACGGAAAGATCAAAGACGAAAGGGCGAGTTTCTTCCTATCATAGAACGTTCAGGAACTGGGGACTTCCCTCTTCAAGATGTTCTGACAAATGCATTTTTTGGTCAGCTGGGATCTTGCTGAATGCCTGACCTGTGTGTCAAACCCTGGGATGCTCTAGGATATTCAAACTGCTTGTGACTCTGAGGGATTTGAGGTTTTGTTGTTCTATTGCTTTCTGAAACTTGAGATCATGGATATCGCAAGTCATTTGTACAGATGTCCCAACTCTGCTATATGTCTGTCTGTGTGTGTATCCAAATCCTGAACTAGGTCTTGAGAGACCTCTCATCAGAATCTATCTGGTAATCCAGGTCCCTATATCTTGAGTGGTGCTGATACCTTATGATTTATGAATGAAAGTATTGTATTGAACACAAGATAATCTTTAAGTTTCCTTCAAATCCTACATTCTATTAACCTATATTTAGACCATCAGACTGGTCATCTGACTTTTATGGGATATTTTGCCTGTAGTTTGAGATTCTTAAACAATTAATACAGACAGGTTAGTGTATTTTTCCATACAGTGTGTGTGTGTGTGTGTGTGTGTGTGTGTGTATATATATATATATATATATATATATATATATATATATACATTTTCAGTCATATATGAAGTACACTAAGATTCATATTCAAAGAACTCCAGGGTAAATTCTCAATTTGTTCAACACATTTTACTCAGCATCTATTATGTGTTATATGTTATAGAAGAGTGTGAAAGACAAGATGATTATCCTTGAAACACTTACGCATTAGGGAGACAACAAGGAATAAACAATATGTAAATATACAACATCAGGTCACAATGTATATAATATCTATTAGTCAATTTTTACTCTTAAGTCTTTAGTGACTTTTTTTCAGTGCATTTTTAGTACAGTAGTCCCCTCTTATCTGCAGGTAAAATATTCCAAGTCTTCCAGTGGATATACAAACCATGGATAGCACCACATACAATATATACTGTCTTTTCCTATACACATTCAGGTTATACATATGTATGATAAAATTTAATTTATAAATTAGGTACAATAGGAGATTAACAGTGATGATAGTAAAATAGAACAATTATAACAATATATTATAATAAAATTATGTAAATGTAGACCTTCTCTTTCCCAAAGTATCTTATTGTACTAAACTCACCCCTTCCTGATGGTGATGTGAGATGATACAATGCCTGGGTGATGAGATGAAGTGAAGGGGCTGATGTAGGAGGCATCGTGACATGGTGTTAAGCTACTGTGTAAGGGTTACCTGAGCACAGCCCTGTGATACTGCCACAGTTGATCTGAGACTCAGAATGACTACAAAAGTGATTGACAGGGATGAAATGGCGGAGTGTTGGATATAGTTTGGATACACTGGACAATTTGATGATTCATGATGTGGGCAGGACAAAGCAGGATGGAACAAGGCTTCATCAGGCTACTCTGAATGGTGTGTAATTTAAAATTTATGAATTGTTTATTTCTGGAATTTTTCACTTAATATTTTTAGACTATGATTGATTCAGGGTAACTGAAACTATGGAGAGTGAAATTATGGATAAGGGGACTACTGTACACCATATGACTTTTATTTCTTTGCCTGATTTAATGTTGGTATCTTATCAAATTTGTGATAGTACTTTTCTTACAAACCTTAGTACAATGATATTCAAAGTCTCAGACCCTTTGATACCATCATTTTAAATTGTTGTATCATATTCCTTAACATTTTTCAACTTGTTAGATACCTAGATTATTTCTAATTTCTTCCTTTTATAGATAACACTGTCATAACCTTTATTTTAAAAGAAGTCTTTAAAAATGATTGAAGGATTTCTTAGGAGATTTCTAGAAGTGGGATTTATATACTGAAAAACTATTTCAAATATTTATTTTATTGGTTCTTTTTAGTTATATAATGACAGTAGAATCCATTTTAATGTAATTATACTAGCATGGAATTTATCTTATTCTAATTCAGATCCTAGTACCTCTCCTCCCCCTTTCATTTCCTCACCCCCTGCTTCCTTCTCTTTATTGATCCTCTGCCATTTACCCATAGTTTTTTTTTTAAATTAATTTCTTGAGGATGTACATAATGGTGAGATTCACTGTGGTATCTTCATATATATACCTAGGAAAGTTATGTCAGATTCATTTCACTGTCTTTCCTTTTCTCATTCCCCTTCCCTTCCCTTTATTCTCCTTTGTCTAGTTTAATAAAATTTAAAATATGTATACAATAAATAATTTTAGGGGAAAAATCCTTCCATAACCAAGTAAATACCCAATACTATTTATCTATATACTTTCCCCTCTCTATATATGTAGATAGACATGCACCCTCCATATGTATGTATGTATATATATCTCCAGTATGTCTGTCTATATACCATCTGTCTCTATCACTTTTCAATTTACTGTCTGTCTTGACTCATTAAAGAAATAAGCTTGCACCTGAAAATTTTAACCTCGATGCTTTCAAAATCCCTTAAATTATTTAAATGTTTGGGTATGTCATTCAGCATTACTAATTTTTTGTTCATTTTATTAAAGAATTATTTCTCCAAAAGTTATTTTCCTCCTTAATATTTCTAACACTGCCATGTCAAATAAACATGAAATTTTTGGATGACTCTTTTTTCAGTAACAATGTTGATTGCTCAGAAGATTTGTGCACTGAACACAAAGAGAATAGCTGACGCTTCAGAGACATGGCCCAGAGCTGCCATGGTGAGGGATGAATCGCTGAGCAACTACAGTTTATCAGGGGAGGAGGCTGTCTGCACTGGCAGACCTCACATTTTCTCCCATCACAAATTCTGCCAAGGCCTGCTCTTACATGGTTGTTTTCCATTTGCATATGGGAATATCTTTTTTCTTTTAATTGCTTTTATTTTTTAAATACATGACAGTGGAATGCATCAAAATTCTTATTACACATATAGAACACATTTTTTTCATATCTTTGTTTGTATATAAAGTAGGTTCAAACCATACATATACTTTGGATGATGATGTCTGCCGCAGTCTGGCTGGGCACAATCAGGAGCCACTTGTCAAAAGAAACTAACTTTATTTTTAGAACCACACACACCAAACAAAACAGCTCCTCAGGAAAACCCCTCAGAGCCCCAACTGCCACCACCGGCTTCCCACAAGCCTCTCCCTCAACCACAAGCCTCACCACCTCCCCCCATCCTCCTGCTCTTGAGGCCGATTGGCTGGGTCGTGTGGGCGGAGCCAAAAAGTCCCCCAATGAGCAGCTCCATGGTCTGAAAGGGCAGGGAAACAGCCCAATGAGCATCACCGCAGAGGAGCCAATCAGCTAGATGTTGCTGGGCCGCTGTAAGCCAGCAGTTGGAAGTTTGCTGGCAGCTGGAAGTTTACTGGGGCCCCTTCGGCTGTGGCTCTCAACAGATGTCCATCACATTCCACGATCCTTGCTAATCCCCTGCCTCCTCCCTTTCCCTCCCACCTCTCTGCCCTATCTAGAGTTCATCTATTCCTCCCATGCTCCCTCTCCCTACCCCACTATGAATCAGTCACCTTATATCAGAGAAAACATTTATGTCTAATGTTTTTTTTTGGGGGGGGGATTGGCTAACTTAGCATTATCTTCTTCAACTACA